ATGGGCACAGGATCACAGGGAGAAAATCCGGGAATTTTACCTCTGGAATTTAAGGGGAAAAAAACCATCAAATTTGCCCCAATTCCGCTGGGAATTCCCCCAAAATTCCCGGTGAATCCCATCCATCCCAAATCCTGAATTCCCACTCCCAGCCCGGAACAAAATTCCTCATTTTCCTTGGGATTTCCCAGGTTTTTGGGAATATTTCCCTTTTTCTGGGATTTTTCCTGGTCCTTGTGCCGCTCCTGGGTTTTCCCAGTGGGAATAATTCCGTCTTTTTCCTTTATTCCCAATTTTTGGGAAATTCTCTGAGCTGCACAAGTGGAGAACATTCCCGAGTTTTCCAGGAGCAGATTCCAGGCTGGAATTCCCTTGGGAATTTGGGGGTTTCCCGCAGAAAATCCCCTTTTCCCCAGGAAATTCGGCATTTTTGGGATATTCTGGGTTATTTTCCAAGAGAAAATTCATGGAAAAAAATGGGAAAATCCCGTCGGATTCCAGAGCGATCCCGACGGATTCCGGGCGGGAATTCCCGAGGGAAAATTCATGGAAAAAAAACCCAAGAAAATCCCACTAAATTCCAGAGCGATCCCAGTGGATTCCGGGTGGGAATTCCCTGATCCCGAGGGAAAATTCCTGCGGAAAACCACGGGATTTGGGATTTTGGGGAATTCGGGAATTCTCAGGAAGGTCAGGAGGTGAAGTAGGAGCTCTGCATGGAATAGAGGCGGTCGATGGGGTTCCCAATGGGATTCCCGATGGAATTTCCGACAGAATTCCCGATGGAATTCCCAATGGGATTCCCAATGAGATTCCCGATGGAATTCCTGATGGAATTCCCGATGGAATTCCCGAGGCGTGGGAGCAGTTGGGTTTCGTTCCCGGGAAGCAGCGCCGAGCTCAGGGAACTCAGAGCGTCCCCGTCCAAATCCTGGAAAACGCCCTCGGAATCTGGGAAAAAAGGGAAAAAACCAGGGATGGGGCCTCGTTATCCCATAAAACTCACCCCGTAAATCCCAAAAATCCCATAAACCTCATCCCATAAATCCCAAAAATCCCATCCCCTCAATCCCCTACGCCTCATCCCATCAATCCCATGAACCCCATAAATCCCAAAAATCCCATGGATCCCATCCCATCAATCCCATAAACCTCATCCCATAAATCCCATTCCATGAATCCATTCCCATTCCCACCCCAGATTTCCCATTTTTCCATTTTTTTCCCCATTTTTTCCCGTTTTTTCCCATTTTTCCCCATTTACCATAGCTCTACAGCCCCACCCCGGTCACTCCCCATTCCCAATTCCCAGAATTCCCAAATTTTTCCCCATTTTCCGCCCATTACCGTATCTCTACAGCCCCACCCCGGTCACTCCCCATTCCCCATTCCCATTCTTCCCCATTTTCCCCATTTCCCATTCCCGTTCCCATTCCCCATTCCCCATTCTCATTTTTCCCGAATTTCCCCATTTTTCCCATTTTTTCCCCATTCCCCATTCCCATTTTCCCCATCCCCCATTCCCATTTTCCCCATTCCCCATTTCCCATTTTCCCCATTCCCATTTTTCCCAATTTTTCCCTATTTTCCCCATTCCCCATTCCCATTTTTCCCAAATTTCCCCATTTTTCTCATTTTTTCCCCATTCCCCATTTCCCATTTCCCCCATCCCCATTCCCATTTTTCCCAAATTTCCCCATTTTTCCCGTTTTTCCCCCATTTTTCCCAAATTTCCCCATTTTTCCCGTTTTTTCCCATTTTCCCCATTCCCCATTCCCATTTTCCCCATCCCCATTCCCATTTTCCCCATTCCCCATTTCC